CGTAGTCTTAGATTCTTTAACCAGTAGGTACAGTTTCTCTCCTATTCCTCTCTCCACCTTATTGGTTCCTCCTAATTTCTTGAAAACCTCAATAAAATCACCCCACAACCATCTCAGTTCTAGGGAGTAGAACAAGTTTGGTCAAACACTTCCCTATATTTTACCCTTGACAACTAAGTAAAGTTCTTGTCAACCTACATTTCACTTCCTCCAAAACCAATGTATCATTCCAAATGTGTGGTGCCCAGAGCTGTGACTAGTACTCTGGGTGTGGTGTAACCAGAACACTTTATAGTTGTAATTAACACATAATCATTAGTATGTAATCTTCTCGAAACAAAGGCCAGTATTTTGAGCTTTTCCAACTAATAAGCCTGAGTAACTAGGAGTGAGATGCCAGGCCACTTGATGTATTGTAACTGCATGATGTGGGAACAGTTGATCCCATTGTGATCCATAGCCACCACATCTGTAGCGAGTGTTAGTTGCTTGAAGAACTCTGGGTCAGAGTTGATGAGCTGGAGGCTTAGCTTTGAATACTACGATGTATCAGGGAGGGGGAGAGTTATCTGGACGCTGTGTTTCAAGAGGCACTCAAACGCCTTATATTAACTACCTTGAATACAGCCAGTGAGGGAATATGAGCAGCTAAGGGCTAAATTAAAAAGCAGAACCAAAAAAAATCTCTGGATTACTACCTGGGCAAGAATACAAGAGCAGAGATGCACTGCTGAGGTTACACAAGGATCTGTTCAGACCTCATTTGGAATATTGTGAACAGCTTTGGGCTCAGTATCAGCCAGAAGATGGTTAATCTGTGGAACTCATTGCCATAGGTCTATGGGAGCCAAGTCTTTGCATGTATTTAAGACAGAGATAGATAGGTTCTTGATTAGTAAGAGGATCAAGGGTTACGGGGAAAAGGCAGGAGAATGGGATTGAGAAACCTATCAGCCATGATCAAATAGTAGAGCAGATTTCATGTTGTCAAATGGGCTAACCCTGATCCTATATCTCTGGTTTAATGATCTTGTTTTGTACCTCTGTTGAAGAGGTAAATAGCCTGTTTGGCAATATAGAACTTGAGTATTGCTGAAACAAAGACATATTTTGTCAAAATTTTTCATTGGACTCATCATAACTTCCACAAGAACATTTCTGTAAAGGAGGACCAACATTTAATATTTAGTATGAGAGGACTTTGGAAGAAGCAATGAGATGGAGAATTCCCTAGTTAGATGATAACCATAAATCAAGTGCCAAGCTTTGTTTAAACTTAAATCAGACATTCTGGTTAAGGCATTGCTCTGAGGAATGAACCAGTGTGGGCCATCTTATAGTTGTCATCTATATAAATTTTGGCAGCTATCAAAGACACACCTTTAGTTTTCCTATGTATATTGATAACATCCAGTTCTGCCTAATGAACAGTTCTCTGAAGTCCTCCGCTGTTGCTAAATTTTCAGACTGCTTTTCTGACATCTAGTACTGGAGGGACAGAAATTTCCTCCAATGAAATACTGGGGAGACTGAAGACATGGTTTTCCGTCTTTGCTGCAGATGCTATTCCCTTACTATTGACTCCAACACTTTCCTGTAAACTGTTTGTGAGCAAGCCAGTTTTCAACCTTTGTGTCACACCTGATCCTGTGACAAGTTTCTGGCTCACATTTGTGCCATCTCTAAGAGGGCCTATTTCCACATCTTAGCTCATCTGTTGCTGAAACCCTTATTCATGCCTTAGTTACCTCTGGACTCCATCATGTCAGTACTCTGCTTGCTTGTTTCCCACTCTGCCTCTATAAATTTGAGGTTGTCTACATTTCCATTCTCAGCAAGTCCAATTTCCATATTATGGCTGTGTTTACAGACTACCATTTGTTCCACGTTAAACTGGAAAATTGACCTTTAGATTTTTTAGCTCCATGCCTTGTGTCATGTTCCTGCACATTACCCCTATCTAATATTTGACTTACTGTATTCTGTTCCTCAGGATTTTAATCATGAATCACGGTAACATTTGAGGTATAAAATCCCTTGTTGATTTGCAGTAGTCACTGCTCAGATTCTGAGATTTTGTTACTGATTTCAAATAACTTTGAGAAGTATGCCTTGATTCTTTGATTTCCGTGTTGATTAAGTACTAACTTACCATTATTATCTATTACTTTATCAGCCTTTAAATTCCCTCTCAGATGCTCTTTATTTTATCTAAGCATTTGGCCTTGAAGGACTTTGTCTCTCTGTGTGTAATACATTTAAATGTGCAAAAAAGGAAATGACTCCAATGTTCTCCCACCCAGAAGGTAATACAAAGCGTGGAAGGCAATATAGGATTTTACTCCTCGTTGAATTGATGGTGACTATATCTTCCAAGCATCTGAAGTGAATTCATGACACAATCAGTCCATACCAGGACAATGGTCAACTTGTAGTTGATCCAACTGAGTCTTCCTCTCCGAGAATTGGACACCAGTCAGAACCCAGTCAGAACTAATGACACTGACCTGACTTGTGGATCTTCAGTATGTGGATGACAAGGCCATCTCTGCTGTTTCGGAAGATAATCTTCAAGCCTGATTTAGTGCCTTCATGAAAGCATTTGTAGAATTGGTCTCAGCCTCAACCTCAATAAGACTAAAATCTTTTGCCAACCTGTCCCAGGTCAAGTTCCAGTTCATTCTTCCATTATGATCAATGGAGAAATCCTCCCAAACATGGAATATTTCCCTTACCTGGGGAGCTACCTCTCATCTAAGGCTGACATTGACACAGAGGTTCAACATTGCAGTTAATTGGTGAGCACTACCTTTGGATGCTGAAGCATGAGAGTCTTTGATGAACGTGACATTTGTGCTGATACCAAGATCCTGGTGTATAAGGCAGCCATCCTTCTAATTCTTCTATTTGGCTCCGAAAACATATAGATGCCACCTTAAGGCCAATGCCGTTTGAGACAGATTCTGTCTGATGCATCAGCTGGTAGGACAGGTGTACTAACATCAGCATCCTTGAAGCAGACAACAGCATCAGCATTGAGGCCATGATCATTGAAACCAACCCCGCTGGCTGTCCCTGTGCTTAGGATGCCTTGCATTTCAGTTGCCAGAGCAAATCTTCTTCACTCAGCTCAGTGAAGGCACTTGAAGGAGAGGAGGACCGAGGAAGCAATTCAGAGATTCCCAGAAGGCTATCATCAAGAAGTGCAACATAGATGTCAGTGCAAAGGAGACCCTCGTTTGGAAGAACCCGACTTGGAGGAAACTCCTGTGTGAAGGACCACAATTCTTTGAAAATGCCCAGCAAAGTGTAGAAAAGGAACGAGAGAAAGGAATGCCAGCGATCTCAAGGCCAAGGACCACTTCCACTTCCCAGAATCACCTGCCAAATGTGTTGTCAGAGATGTGGGTCCAGAATTGGGCTCATCAGCTTCACAAGGATCCACAGAGTCCACGAGCAGTGACACAGCATTTCCTGGATGGACATTCAGACTCGTTAGTGAGTGATTGTTGACCACAATGAACTTTCATATTATTATATCTAGCTAAAGCTAATTAACAATGTTTTAGGCTTACCCTTATTCATTGAAGAATAAGTATAGACGAAATGTGTCAAATCATGAAGAGTAAAGAGCAGAATTTCTGTAGTTTTATTCTATTTTCACTAGACTAACATTTATGTATCAATATATATTTTACATAAATTGCAGATTATGGAGTGTGGGGAATGCCATAGGTTGCTGTTGTTTGCAGCGAGTTTCTGCATCCCCCAGGGTTTTGTCAAACATCTTACACAATAAAGTTATAAGTTTTTGTCTGGAAAAATCATTAAGTATAGATTTTAATGGATGTGTGAAAATAAAGTAATAATTGAGCAATTATTACCTACAGGGGTAAATGATTCGGCTTTCATTTTTGATATACCTGCTCCACATTCATGCTTGAAAACTGTACTAAATGCTTAATATGTCAATACGAATTTCTGAGAAATTTGGTCAATTTGATATCAGAGCCCAAAATCAGATTGGGTCCCTCTCTATCCAGAACTTATTCTTTTGATGTAAAAGATGTTGGTGCAAATTCATTCCAATGAGGGGAAAATACATGTAACACTTTATTTTTGAGAAACGCATCATACATTGAAATACTTGCTTTTAAAAGATATGTTACAGATAAGTACTTCTCTGTTTCATATGGATGTATTGACGTTTACTGAATTAAGCATTTGCTGTGGCAGTGCCTGGCTCAAATAATTTGTAGGTAAAGTGTGGGGCTTAATTTAATGACTGCCTATGGTCCCATCTACTGGCTGGACAGCCACTGGCAATCCTACAGTCGCCATTTCTATGAGTAATGACAGCATTAAATCCCACTTAAATCCATTGGGATTCTTAGACTTTTGGTGAAGCTGTATGAGTGGAACTTAGAAAAATGAAGGGGATGATTATCTTGATGAGATTGTACCAAAGGCCCCTCAATAGTCAATGAGAAACTGAGAAACAAATAAGTAGAGAGATCTCAGATATCTGTAAGAATAATAATGTTGTAATAGCAGGGGATTTTAACTTTCCAAACATAGATTGGGACTGCCATCGTGTTAAGGGCTTGGATGGGGAGGAATTTGTTCAAGAAAATAAGGCCCTAAGCTGACTGAGGACTGAGAAGGCTGATCGTTATCTTCCCCATCATAGCCTTAGTAAAGGCTGGGGGAGAGTCAGGAAGACAGTGGGCTCTCCACCCTCGATTGATCTGCTTGATTAAATGCCCAACCCAATCCCATGCCCTGCTCAACTGGGACACTGAATTTCACCTCTAGTTTCAATGAAAAATTAAAACACTGGAAGCAAGTTATGGTGGAAAATAGTATCTATAAAAATTCTTCAGTGTTAAATAGGATCATTTTGTTTCTTTGAAAACAGTTTAGTGCTTTGCTGAAATTGACGTTTCTTGGTTTCCCAATGTTTTAGTTTGGTAGTTCAGTTTATTCTGTTTTGTTTTCAGTTGGGTTGGAAGCTTTGGAATTGAAGGTTTAAAGCAGCTTTTGGATGTCTTGGAGAAATTACTCAATAAAAGGTAAGTGCAGTTTCTAATGCCATATTTTAAGTTGCCCAATCATTTGCTTTTTGAAATGGTGTTTGGCTTGTGAACTAAAATAAACGTTTTATTTTATCCTCATCATAGTCAAGAACAAAATGACCGCAAAAGTCAACATAAAGTGATTCAGTGTTTGAGAGCATTCATGAACAACAAGGTAACTTAATTACTGAGATAGTAGGAACTGCCGATGCTGGAGAATCTGAGATAACAAGGTGTAGAGCTGGATGAACACAGCAGGCCAAGCAGCATCAGAGGAGCAGGAAAGCTGA